TAATATAAATGCAATTTAATTAAATATATGCACAGCTACCAATGACAAATAGATTGTTTTTTATTTTAATTTTTTTGTTGAAGGTGCTTAATTTGAAACCTGGAGCGACATCACTTTTCTTGTGCTTTGTCTGTGTGTCTTCCGCATTTCTTTCAAAAACATGGGGGGAAAAGGTAATGAGCAATTTCATAAGGAATGTTCCACAAATTGCAAAAAAAAACAATAGATTTAGAAAAACAAATAAAATAAAATATAGAGGAAAAAGAAAGAAGCTAGATATTTACAGTTATCATTATTATATATTTAAAATTATGTTACAGAATTAAAATTTTTAAGCTCTTTTTCCAGGACATTTCCTTTTTTTTAAAAAAATTAATTATAATTTTTCAAAACTTTTTTTTTTAAAAAAATCTTGTTTTTAATTTTACTTTTTTACTTTTTTTTTGCAATTTTTTTGGGTCATGTCTTCTTTCGCTGCTCATTGCCTTCTTCCCATGTTTTTCAAAGACACCAAGCCAAGTTGCAAAGGGTTAAAAGTAAAAAAAAACAAAAAAACAACTGTGTTAATGCTTGAAAATATAAACTATAAATATGATTAAAAGCTGACTGGGTTGTTGTTCTGTTGTTCGAACAAAACTATCTAAACAGGTCACCTTGTACTCATGATGACCCTCTCTTTAAGGTTTATTTAACCCTGTACAACAACAGGTGGCGCCAGTGAGCTGCACATAAATCAGTCCTGACAGCTTCACGCACACATGAAGAAGCTCTGAGCAAACACAATCACATCAACCTTTCACTACTGATTTATTACAAACACACAACACACTGCCAGAGACGTTTTTCACCCCGTTAGTTGCCCTAAAGCAGGTTTTAGATGCCCTCACTGGAACATGCATGTTGTTAGTGAGCCATGTGTTAACGTTAGCTTAATACCGTTATACTCTTGTGTTAGCATCTGAAGCTAACAGCGGCTAGCAACACTGCGTTATGGCTGCCTGAGCCGTTAGCTTTCTCTTTCACTGAATCACAGTGATGACGTTAGCTGCCATCACCATCAGTCCATCCGTTAGAGACACGTACCATGTACTGAGAGGAGTTAAGGCACCACAGGTCAGCGAACACCACTTACTTGTCGCTAAGTTTCACAGTGTTATTACCCAACAGAGCTCCGGTCACAAGCTGCGGACAGGAGGAGGAGACCACGTCACTGCTGGAGAAAGTGATGCTGCCTTCATTGCCGTCGGAAATTGGCAACGTCCACATGTAGGCTGCGGGCAATCGACCCTGAACTGCTGGAGCAATCATGCCTGTAGTTTCAGGGAAATAGAGCAGGGCTGAAATGTGTCTCTCAAATTAGTCTTAAGTCAACAAGCAGGGGCGTAGCGCCAAATACTGGGCCACCCTTCCTATTTTGAGCCATGTCTCACTTACGCACCTATTGTTTTTTTTTTGTTGTTGTTGTTTTTTTTAACAAAGTTAGTTTGCTTTCTGTCTTTTCTTTTTTGGAACAGATAACTCCCTTTCTTGGGGAAAGACACAACAGTTTATGTTGGTCCTCTGCACTTTTGGTATAGTACCTTTGGAACCAAAACTAAGGGTACTTTCACACCAGGATAATCCGGGGGACTCGGTTCGATTGGGCGGGGAATGCCGAAAAATTTCACACCTTCATTTCGTTCGGTTCACTTTCACACTGCACTTTTTAAAGCGGACCAAATCGCCTGGACAACGTCGCGCAGTTACAACAGCTGCTCGTTTGGGGGCAGTATTGCTCGAAACGACCACTGACCAGGAAGAAAAAAAGCATGAGGAAGAAGAAAACCTGGCTCATGGATTGGCCAGGACCGAAAACGGAAATCCATCCCCTTCAGCTGGCTTGGTCACCACAAAAACATCAAGCACCAAAATGCACTGCCCTCTTTGGTTCACTTCCTCTCTTTGGTTAGCTGGATAGTCTGTTTACATTTCCCACAGTAAGCGAACCGCACCAGGGTTCACTTGCAAGTGAACCAAGACCCCCAGTTTTCAAATGGTCACTCATTTGGTCCGCACCAGGGTTCGAATGAGTGTTCACACCACTCCAAACGAACCGAACTATCCGTGGAAGCGGACCAGGGTTCATTTAGAGTGGACCAAATAGCACCAGTGTGAATGTGTCCTAACCCTTCAGACATGGTGCTGAGACCCTAGGTCCATTTTGGGTTTTCCACCACAAAGAGTACTGGGTGGATACAGGCCCTTACTTGGCTTTAACTACATCTAGAGACAAACATAGTGCAAGGGTGAACTGAACCACTTTGTGCCTTCAAGGGTCATTCCAGTCTTTCTGAGAGGCACACATTGGGGATCTGGGGAATCTATCCCACTTTTTCCCCCACTTAAATGCCCCTGGTAACAAGGGACACTTAAGCTACAAAAATAAGACCCAATAACATATTTTAAATACTACAATTCATCATAGACTACATAGAAATACATACTGCAGCTGATTGTACTGAAAAATGGTAAGTTTAACACCTCATATCCATACATGAAATAACAATATCAAACATAACAAATAAAACATTTAAAAAAAAAAAAAGAAACAATACAGACATCAACCTGTACGAGGGAGATGAAAACATGTTTGTTTTTTTTACAGAGAGAACATATGGAGAAACATCAGCTTTAAATTTATGTAATAATTTATTACAAGGGCAGTGTAATGTATTTTCTATATGGTAACCCTGAAGGCAGCATCGTCCTGGGCTGGTCCATCTGTGAAGTGGTGAACACTTCAGGAACCCTCCACAAAGCTCTGTGATTTTACAAATCATAAATCATGTAAATCATCTTTTTGATTACTTGTTTAGTGGGGGCATTTTTAGCCTTTAATGGATAGGACAGACAAGTGTGAAAGGGGGAGAGAGAGAGTGGGAGTGACATGCAGCAAAGGGCCATGGGCTGGAGTCGAACCCGGGCTGCTGCGGCAACAGCCTTGTACATGGGGCGCCTGCTCTACCACTAAGCCACTGACGCCCCAAACAGCTCATTCTTAAGTAAGAAAAACACAATGGTTCTTATTGTCAGGTGATTATATCCTAAAGAAAACATACTTATTATATAATATTACATTTCTGCCAATATGTCCCCCTAAATCAAACACACTGGACCTTTAAAAGACCATATGATTAAAATATAAAATACAATGCATGGCTTAAGTTTAAACCAGGGATACTCAACTTGCGTTGCCCGGAGTTAGGACACTGAATATTCAGGGCTTAATGTAGACCTCTATCATCACTGTGAGTTACTAAAAGCTTGGTGGGCCACCTGGGACCCTATCACAGGTCATATTCGACCCACAGGCTTTCAGTCTTATACCATACACCCATCAACCAAAACATTAAAACCACTGGTGGGTGAAGTGAATAACATTGATCATCTTGTTACAGTGCAATGTTCTGCTGGGAAACCTTTGGTCCTGGCATTCATGTTGATGCTACTTGACATGCTCCAATAAACCCCCTCATGGCAACAGCACTTGTCGATGGCAGTGCCTCCAGCAGGACAACTCACTGTGCCACACCACAAAAGCTGCTCAGGAATGACCCCAGGAACAGGACAAAGAGCTCAAGGTGTTGACTTTGCCTCCAAACACCCCAGATCCCAATCTGATCTGACATTTGAGGGATGTGCTGGTACACTAGAGGAACAGCGATCCACCATGGGTGCTGCTTGGACTGGACTTGGCTCTGACCTGGAGGGTGTCAATTGGTGTCTGGCACCAGGGCGTTGGCTTGAGATCTTTTGAGTCCTGTATGATGTGAGGTGGGGTACCAGCACGTCCCACAGATATTTGATTGGATTGGGATCTGGCAAATCTGGAGGCCTGGTCGACACCTTGAATAGAATATTGTCCCCTAGGGGAAATTTGTCGCGGACTCGAATGCATACACCAGCTGCCTTGCAGACAATAAATATACACAAAACAGCAAAGACACAGGAAATGGCAAACACACACACTCATAAGACACAAACCAGACAAAATGTGAAAAACAGACAGGACACCAAGTTACTGCACAATCCCAGTATTTCCCAGCCTTCAGGAGCCATTTAACAGTTTGTTGGAATTAGGAATGAATGAGTGTTTGAAACGGTTCAGTTTGCATTTGGGAAGTCTGTACCTTCTGCCACAAGGCAAGAGCTCATACTCAGGATGAAGGGTGAGCTCTTTGTCATGTTCCTAAGGCTATTCCTGAGCAGTTTTTGTGGTGTGGCATGGTGCACTGTCCTGCTGGGGGGCCGCTGCCATTGGGGGGGTTCTGGTCTGCAATGGTGTTCGGGTGGGTGGAGCATGTCAGGTGGCAACCACATGAATGCCAGTACCTAAGGTTTCCCCACAGATCATTGCACTGGAACAAGATGATCAGAGTTAAGCACTTCACCTGTCAGTGGTTTGAATGTTTTGGTCGATCAGTGTTTATTTATTTGTAGTTTTAGTTATTTTCTTTGATTTGCATTTAAATTGTTAAATATGAATTGACTGATTAAAGATCAAATGTACTTTTTGATCAGTTTAGTCACATGAAACAGAATTATCTAAAAGAGATTACATGGGTGCGATTATGTGCATTTAACATATAAACTTACTGAGCACATTTTGCTGATGATACCTGTGAATTTAAACACAAGTAGGATTTTTAGGACTTTTACTGCTTTGTAGGTTACATTGTTTTAAGAGCCCAGAATGTGAGTACTTCCTCCAGCACTGAATGGCCTAAATAAAACTGAGATAACTTTTATTCAAAGACAAGTGAGAACACATATCTAATAAGCATGCAGGCGGATGGTGGTGTTATTGTGAGTGTTATTAGCAGAGGAGTGCTGCAGCTTTGGCCCCTGTCCCCTCTCAGCTGTCTCATAAACAACATCGATCACAAACCCTAAAGTCTCAGCTCGGTCTCCTCTCCAGTCCACGCCCCTCCGCCTGACACTACATGCCTGCATGGTCCGACCGGCCGAGGATCCAGGAAGGTTTGCGGACCGCGCACACCATGATCCGGGACCTGATCGCATGAAAGCCGAACATCCTCATCTCCAGCTCTCACCTAAAGGAAGGTAAACCACCACCACAGCCACCAACACTGTGATAATGTAGGTTTGATACACAGCATACTGGTGCGACGTCTACATCGCGTCATCTGCGGTCGGCGGCGCGTCTCACCAACTAGTTTCCACTGAGATCACCGTTACTTTACCTGCTGTAGACAAACAGTCACTGTGACCAGGCGCTAGTTTGTGTACACGAGCCTCAAAGCCGCGTTCAAGCCTTAAATCTATTCTAACGGGAAGCTCCTAACCGGATGACTTAATGATGCTTTGTGCTGATCTCAGGTTGAACCACAGCTCCTCTCTCTGTATTCGCACTTTTCCACAAGCTTCCGTTTCAACATAAAGTCTATAAAAGTGTGTCTCATTAATATCACACAAGATATGCTTTCTGCAATGCGGGTAGTTTTTTTTCTTCCTCATGTCCTTAACGAGACAGGAGTTTTTGTGTGCCTGGGGCTGGGTGTGTTCCAAACATGTCTGTTTTTGGATATCTGGGATTCGGACAAATTTCCTGTCAGGAAGGGACAAGGATATGGCCTGGTCAGCTCAACTCAATGGCTGACTCATCCAGGGGGGTGACAGGATTTTTCCTAATGCAAACTACAGACTTCACACACAGAACCCAGGAGCTATTTTTATTTCATGATTCCACCCTATTATTAAAAATTTTAAAGGGCTGGACACTTCTCACTTACCACTGTTGGCATCTTGCCATGTGAGTATATTTGATTTTATAAGCATAACTTTTATTCATACTTAAACCTTAAAGGGACACTCCTTGGATTTTCCACATGATTCACTTTACGCAAGAACACTACTGATGATGTCATCCTGCGTCATACACTCTGGGTTTTTTTCAACAGAAAGCCTGCATCATACACTGGAAGTGAAAGGTCTGAACGTGGGACTGAAGACAGAACTGCATACAGTGTGTTGGTGAAGATTCTCAGTCATCCAGGTCATGGTAATCTTAAACCCCAGTTCCACCGAGCAGTACGGTTCAGTTCTGTACACTTTTTTCAGTTTCCACTGTGAAAAGTTATGGATGGTACCAATGGAACCGTTCCGTACTGTCCCCATTTTTGGTCCCCCCTCTGTTGGGGTACCTAGCACACAGATCTGGTACTAAAAGGTGGAGATGCTCATGTAACCATTGTTCATACCGTGCAGAGTTTTATTAGACTGTTATTATAAAAATAAAGGATGTTTTGCTGCCTCTCAGCAGCTGGAGTCAGAGAAAATAATAATTTAATTCACTGGGCCGACTGCCGGGGACTTTTAAGGTGGAACATTTACTTGTAATGTTACTCAATGCATGAACTGATGACATGAATCAATCAACACACCTTAAATTTCCATATGACAACTCTGACCATCACTTTAGTTTTAATATGACATACACTTTTAGTAATGAGTGGATCTTCAAGTGTTCATATATATTTTAATTTCAACCAGGACGGCACATATTCTTATCCTCACTCTTAGAAAAAAAAGTGTAGCAGAACGTCGTTCCTGCTGGGTACGGCAACACTAAACCCCTGAGCTTGCCTGAGAAGGACTAAATGCTCAAAGCTGCTATTTTTAAATATCCCATGGAGAGAGACTCTAACTGCAGCCTGTTCTATTTTGTCCTGAAAATGTCACCGTGCAGCCACGTACAAAATGTGGCCTGAAAGAGGCGTACGCCACTTCCCCCAGTTGTGATCTATAAAAACAGACTTGATGGGAGAAACTTTGACCCATGCTTACGAACATTTTGGAGACTGTATACTGGCGACGCAGATGGTGAAGTGGAAGTCTGATTGAATACATTTTTCCTTACGTTCATTTTTGTTATGGATCCTACGCACTGTTTTATAAATGAGACCCCACTGAAGAAGCCTCTTGGATGAGAAGTGAAAGGTCTTCAAGAAACTCAAGTAAGTCCAGTTGCCTACGATATAGCACTAAAGATTGCATTCAGTGTTGGAGGCGGGGCTTCAAAGCCAAGCGCTCCTCATGGGGCCGGGGTTTGAAAGACTTGGGCATGTAGGAGGGAAAGAGGGTCTAACAAAAGATGCTATAGAACTACATTATGGGAAACGTAGGATCCAGTGTTTTTTGGGACTTTAGAAGTCAGAATTTCTCTGCCTTCGCTGCTTAATTTTTGACCATTCTTTTGATTATGTGAGTCTTGTGAGCTCACCATCTTTAGGAAGGTGCAATGTTTAATTGCCAGAGTATGTCTTTAATACAGTAAATTAGTTTGTGGTGCGCCCATTATTGAAAAATGACATCTAAAAAAAAGCAATAACCATGATCAGTATCAACTGCCCTGCAGCTGGATAACCCGACAGAACACCAGTAGTGGAAGGAGTAATCAGATCTTTTATCAAAGTGAAAAGCTGTAATACCATGTACCATGTAATGTCCTACTCTTAACAGTCCTTTAAGTCCAATCAAAATATACTCTGAGTATCAACAGTAAAACTGTGCATATATATATAAATTTGTAGGCTGGGTTTATCGCCATTGTTAGGTTGCAGTTTGTGCTGCTCTCATCCCTTCCTGTCACTCCCTGAACAAAAATATACACGTTTTTAACTAAAGTAGGTCATCAGTATGCAAGATAAGCAGTCTGTCATTCAGCAATACAAGAAATCTGTGTGAGGACTCCAGAGCATTGACAGAAAATCAATCCACAGTTCAAAAGCCCCCAATAAAAGTTTATCTTTTGTTTTGTGTGTAAAATCGTAATCTTCAAAGTAACTACAAATAATTTTTATGGACTGAGAAGCCCAATTTTACAATGTTGTGGAGTAGAAGTATAAAATAGTGAGCATAAAGCTCTCACAAAATTAATAAATAAAACATACATTATTATGTAGCAGATACCTAAAAACTTCAACAACTAGAAGGGGCGTGGACTCGAAAGTTAACGTGTGGGAAGGTGTAGGCAAAGAAAAGACTTTGTTATAGTTAAGAAAAGATCATGTTTTAGATAGATAGATAGATAGATAGATAACCCTAACCCTAACATATTTATGGTTTGCATAAATGTACAATGCCAACATTTATTTCTGGCTGAAATACAGAACGCTCAAGTGCAGCAAATTTGTACTTAAGTACAGTACTTTGTAAAAGTATTTCCTTAACGTACAGTTATGTAATTAACGTCAAGTTATGGAGGTTAGGTTTAGGAAAAGAAACATGGTGAGGACGTTGCTTAAAATGACTCAAAGTTTACATGCTACCTAACACACAATTCCAGTGCAAAGTCCCAGGCGAAAGTTTGTTTTTTGATTTTTCTTTCTGAACGTACCATTACGTAATTTAAGCAAAGTTAAGGAGGTTAGGTTTATGGAAAGAAATCTGGTGGGAATGTACCTTAAAATGACTCAATGTTCACAAGCATCCGAACATGCAACTCCAGGGGAAAGTCCCTGGCACAATTTCGTTTTTTGACATTTCGTCCTTAACGTACCATTACGTAATTAACGTTAAGTTATGGAGGTTAGATTTAGGAAAAGAAATATGGTTGGGACCTACCTCTCAGGACTGCTGCCTTGTTTACTGCCATCAACGTGTTGGTCAAGTGAGGGCAGCCTTTCAAAACACGTGGGATATGTACGAATTTTGGTGCATTGTTTTTCGTAGGAAAACACCCGAAAAATTAACACTTTTCACAGGGATTATTTATTTCTTTAAAAAGTTGCTTCAGTAAAAACTGTTCACAGTGATGTCTGAGGGCGCATTTGCACCAGGATAGTCCGGGGGAATCGGTTCAACTGGGTGGAGAATGCCGAAAAATTTCACACCTTCATTTGGTTCGGTTCACTTTCACACTACACAGCGGACCAAACCGCCTGAACAACGTCACACAGTTACAACTGCTGCTCATTTGGGGGCGGTATTGCCCGAAACGACCACTGAGCAGGAAGAAAATAAGCATGAGGAAGAAGAAAACCTGGCTCATTGATTGGCCAGGACCGAAAACGGAAATCCATTGTGGGTAGCCGCAAGCAACTGCGATATATAGTCCTCTGACCATATATCAATAAGTGCCTGCTACCCAAAATGCACTGCGCTCTACGTCCTTTCTTTGGTTTACTTCCTTTCTTTGGTTCCCTGGATAGTCCAGTTGCATTTCCCACTGTAAGCGAACCACACCAGGGTTCATTTGCAAGTGAACCGAGACCCCCAGCTTTCAAGCAGACCAGGGTTTGCTCATTTGGTCCGCACCAGAGTTTGAATGAGCGTTCACACCACTCCAAACGAACCGAACTATCTGTGGAAGCGGACCAGGGATCGTTTAAAGCGGACCAAACAGTGCCAGTGTGAACGCGTCCTGAGTTTCATTGTTCCAGGATACAGATGTTTCTGCTTTTTCAAAATTAAACAAACATGTACCAGTGTTAGCAACAAAATTCCAGCGAGATGGATTTCTCAAACCTTGGCATGGATAGATACAACTGGAGCTAAGTGAGAAAAATGTGTCTTGTAATTTGGCTGAACTGACCCTTTAAAGTCAACCATCCGTAGACAGTCTGGTGTAAACACCCCTGAGTGGCTCCTACCCATCCTGCCTGCTGTGAGATGGAAGACTGAGATGGAAGAATCAGTAAAGACATTTTGTGTGGAAAACTTAATTGAACTATCAAAAATATGATCTCTCTAAAAGCCCCCAGGCTTTTAGCAACCTATTCAATGATTCCTTACCGCTAAACTCATTAATAATGAACTTAAGTGTGAGTGTGGATGTATTCAGCTATTGACAGCATCTGTCTCTTTGGCACTGTGGAGTTGCAGATAATAAAACACTGTACATTATGGTCTGGCACCTTGTAGGTTATTCATTATACCTGCTCAAAATTCTATACACACACAATACATGTTTGTATTTGGATGGTGTTTTAAATTCTTAGCATTTTTATTGCTGTTCCAGCCGATCCAATGGCTGTGATAGACTCATGCTAAATGTTTTCCACACTAAGATGTTTTACTACAAAAATCATTGGTGCTCCTGCAGAATTTTCATCGACGAGGCCTTTTAAGTTTGAATGACACTGCAGCCAACTCGCTGCCAGACTGATATTGGAAATAGGACACTTGCAGCTGGAGTAAGCTCTTTACAGAAGGTGACCACGGAGAGTGTGAGCAGAAAGCTGCATCAGGGATACACCACTCGTCTGCATGCTACAGCTCTTACCAAAGACAGGTTTTAAAGTCTCTGAAGAGATTAATAGTTTGAAGACCGTGCTGTGTGTAAACAACGGAAGGGATGAGATCTGGTTTAATTCAGTTTTGTCAGTCGTCGTGTGGGAAGCCACTTCACAAACAAGCTGGCCTCTGAGACTGTGAAGTCAATGTCCAAACACAAGCTCTACAAAATGAGTCATAAGTTATTCTTATGGGGGCACTGACTTTTAAATAATTACATTTGTAATGTGCATTTGTGTAATGTTGGAGCTCCGCTTCAGAGGGACTCAACAGTTTGAGGAAACATTTGTATTTGCTGGTCTCTGTTTTCTACTGAGCTAATGCCAAAGAGGACAAGGTGGGAAAATTGAAGGTTCATAGCCGCTCTGGAGACTGGCAAAGGAGGACTCGTTGGGTTTAGAGGTCCAGGATTAACGAGATTTAAGGCGAGGACATACTGTCTGCAGCGGATGTCTGTGAACAGATGCATAGACATGCACGCAGTTCCATCAATACTATAATTACAGTTTGGCGTCAGCCCCTACAAACAGGAAGGCTGGGAGGTGAGCTAACCATCCTGCTGCTGCCAACATTGGATGAAATTTTGGTAAGCGATGCCGCTGGTACTGGAGTGAATATCCAACTAAACACTGTCTTTACCACTGTAAATGGAGTATGCACAGGCGGCTCGCTTGCTAGGCGTACAAAAAATGGGCTGTGCATGGACATCCACATATGGGTCTACACGGACCGTGGAGGACAAATCTGTAGCTTCACGAGTGTTCGTATGGCCAAAGTGATGTCACATCATCAGACACGCCCCTTCCCATGCAGCTGGCTTTCACCGTCCGAGTACTGGACACAGCATTGGAGGTGACGCCCTGTTCATTGCGATCAAAGTTGCTCAGTGGTACATGAAACCAAAACCATTCACTTGCAGCATATGAAATTACCCAGATGATCAGCACAGCTTTTCCGACATGTGGCACAAAGAGCAGGCACCTTAGAGACTTGAGACAGCTACTTCTGGTTTAGCACTTTGCTAACTAGAAGGGTGATAATGATTTAATTTTGAGACTCATCTAGACTCTCCAAATGTTACTGGATCAAATAGATAAAATTCAAATAGTGAAAGGAGTCATTTTGCCGGGGTTGTGATGCTCACAAAAATGTATCCTTTGATTTACAGACATCTCTTTCCCAGTGTAAGTCTACTGGAAAAAGTCTGTCTGGGCCTTATGGCATCACGTGACGTGTCTGTGTAAATGCACTATTTGGCCACTTTGAAAATTGTCTTCAAAGCCTGACACACTTCCTGGTCCTGGTTTGTGCACAGCCAACATTTTCTAACTATGTGGAAATGGCTGAGAGGAGAAAATAACAACCAGTATAAAAATGCCATTTTTTGATACAGTTACACCTCCAAAACACTGGACGGCGGTAGGGTTTCTGTGAAGTGCTGAAAAGTTTATCAAACACACATTAAACATGGCTTAATAGAGACAGTTTCACACTACACACCTACATGGCTATTACCCATCTTAGTAATGAATTACACAGAGCCAATGATAACAAAGAATACACCATTGGAATTTTCTTAGATTTGTCAAAAGCATTTGACACCATAGATCATCTTATTTTGTTACAAAAATTGAAATATTTGGGACTGGATGAGCAGGCATTGTTGTGGTTTACCAGTTACTTAGAGCACCGAAAACAATTTGTTGCTTTTAAAGGAGTGAACTCTCCCCCTCTTACTATAAAATGTGGTGTTCCCCAGGGATCAATCCTCGGGCCATTGTTATTTCTTATTTATATCAATGATTTGTCCAATGTATCAGATCAGCTATCCAAAATTTTATTTGCTAATGATACTAGTTTGTTTTATTCCCATAGAAATCCTAATGTAATTATGAAAGTTGTCAATGAAGAGTTAGACAAAATCTCCAAATGGTTCAAAATCAATAAATTGTCACTAAACATTAAGAAAACAAATTTTATTCTGTTTAGTTACAATCACAAGAAGCTCACCGAGAATATAACAGTGTTGATTGATAATGTTTCAATAGCTAATGTTGAATCAACTAATTTTCTTGGTGTACTAATTGATAAAAACCTATCCTGGAAGCCTCACATTTCATTTATTTCATCTAAAATTGCAAAAAATATTGGAATAATTGGAAAAATTTGTTATCTTTTAAACACAAAAGTTTCCCTCAACCTTTATTATTCTATGATTTATCCCTTTATTAGTTACTGCAACATTGCCTGGGCCAGTACTCACCAGACAAAACTGCAACCAATTTTTAGGTTACAAAAACAAGCTATGAGAATTATTGACCTTTAAGCTCCAAGAAGTCATTCATTACCTTTGTTTCGTAAATTTGGCATCCTCAGTATTTATCAGATTAATAAGCTCCAAATTACTCAATTTGTATATGGTTCTTTAAATAAAACACTTCCTACTTTCTTTCACAATTTCTTTTCCCCAAACAATCAATTTCACAATTTTTTAACCTGAAAAGCATCCCAGCTCCGACCTCCTCAATCGCGAACTATTTCATCCCAATTTAAGATCTCTCACAGAGGTTCCATGTTAGGGAATTCTCTTCCTCCCCACTTTGTTAAACTTTCTTATGAATCATTTAAGAAATCAGTGAAACATTTCTTGCTATATCAATAACAACGACCTGATCTCTGTATCTGTGTGTGTGTGTGTGTGTGAGGGTGTGGGTGTGAGTGTGATATCATGCCTTTATGCACATGACAATGTTTAATTTAATGTTTATCTAGTGAAGTCCTCTTGTCAAGCCCCTTGAGGGTTTTTTGGACCTCCTTGCATGTTCTCATTGTTCTTTTATTTATTTATTTTTTTCCTAAAAAGATGTTCTTAAATCACCGACTGTAAATTGTTTTAATGGTAATTGTATTACTGATTGTCAATTTTTTTATGGTAATTGTAATGTTAACTTATTTTTAAATACGTGCTAAATAAACAAATAAACACAGTACACAAATCAGCTTCACTATAACTCGCAGCATTCACAGACAAAGCACTTGTCTTTATCTGGACACATTTTCCCCACAAATATAACATGCTAATGTTTCTAGCACAAGCCTATGGCATTTTACATTGTATAAATTAGCCTAGTGGCTAGCAGACTTTTCCCCTACTCATATGAAGCCAGGGACAACAGCAACATTTCATAAAGGTAATGTTAAAAAATTCAGCTCTGTTACAACTCACAAGGTTCACCAATAAAACAACTGTCTTATACTAAACACGTTTTCCAAACAAATATAACATGCGAACGTTATTAGCACAAAGCTATTTTACATTGTATAAATTCGCCTAGCGGCTAGCAGAGATTTCCTCTGCTCATATGAAGCCAGGATAAATCATAGAGAAGAGTTAAAATGCTATTTTGTGGAAGCTTTATTGTCTTCACAATTTATTGTTTCTTATCTGTGAAATTAAAGTAAATAAAAGCTTTGTTTCCACTGAGGGAAATGGTTTCAGCTTACAGAAATAGACAGGAGGTCTGTGTTGCCGTGACGTGTAGTTACATTTCTGGGAAGGTGCACATGCTGTAGCGTAAGGTATGTTGATGCAGAGACTACACCGTAGGTACAGCACCGATTTGACGCAGAAATATAAATCCCGCTTTAGGAGTGAGAGTGTGTTGGGTTGTTTCACATCACCCTGCCCTGCACAAGATAAAAACTTGTTATTACAGTTAATCGTGAGGGGGTCATTAATAAAGGCTGAACTCTGCTGTGAGCCGTTATAAACCGGAATATCCTTTATACTGTGAATTAAATGATGTCATTGTTTTGCCCCTCTGTTGCCAAACCATTTGTCCCATTGTACTGACTAAAAGCTATGTGGATATTTTCTTCTCTTTTGTTAAAGGTATCATGATTCCTGTGATGGAATTCCGGCAGTTCTCTGAACAGCAGCCAGCGTTCAGAGTCCTGAAGCCGTGGTGGGATGTGTTCACCGACTACTTGTCTGTAATCATGCTCATGATCGGCGTCTTTGGATGCACTCTTCAGGTCAGTGACGTACGGGCTCCACCTTCATGTGTTGCATAAGGTTATGTAATGGCTTGTGCTGCCTGTGCTTCCACTTTTCAAATGACAGTGAGGGAGAGTTGTGGCTAATGCACGCTAATGTAACATGAGTTTGAACTGCAGCATGTTTATGAGATAAAAGGAGTTGTCCTACTGTTTCTTTTATTAAATCTAGAGTAATTTAATTTACTAGCACAAGCACAGGCTCTCTGATAGAACATTACTGCTCTGTCTCCTGCACTGGCACCAGCTCAAAAGCACTATTTCCCTGCTTTTACAACCTGGACTGAGCAGCAAAGGAAGCATTCAGCCCGACAGGAGTTTACCAGTGGAAACATTTACCCACCCAGCCCCCTTTTAGTAAACATAAGATTCCAAACTCTTGTGGCCTGGTGCTTAAAATCTCTCTCTATGTGGAAAAAGGGTCGTTATTTTGGCTCCTGCAGCACTCAGTAGTGTAAATCCCAGAAATTATACCAAAACATTTTCAGAAAAACTGTTAACAGGATATTTGTCAGAGTCGAAGCAGCTATTGTTCCCAGATCTCACTGTAACAGTGTTTGGACATGATCTAACAGTTAGTAAATGAGTGGATAATTGTTTACCTAGTCAAGTTTACTTCATAAGTCAGGATATTATCAACATGCCATTTTGTGTAGTGCCTTCATTGCTTCACACAGTAATATGTGCATTTATATGTAGGGGGAGAAACACACACAGAGGGAGAATGAGACTGTAATGTTCTGCAGAGCAGCTCCTCAGAGACCCGAGCAGACCTGACTTTGCACTTCAGTCTGATGTGCTGCATCACAGCTGCATTGCCCTTACTACAGTAATAATGTCCTGTTTTATTCACTCCTCACAAATGTAGCTAGTGAGCATTGACATACTGTAATAGTCTCAGATTATCTGACTCCAAACAAGGAGTGTTTCCCCTTCAGCCCGGCCACCATTGAATTTAAGTGCCCATTTCCTGTTATTAGCATTGCAGAGTGAAGCACCAGTTTAACGTCATTCACCAAAGGCAGGCAGTTTACGGATGTTCACTGACACCAGCTTTTGTCCAGTGTTTTGTCCAGTTTGTTTACATGCACTCAGTAACCCAGGTTACTGAAAGACATCAGGTCACACAGGTCATCATAAAATGCACCGTATTAACCTGGTCACTGTAAATCTTTGTAAACGTGCAGCAAGTTCACTTTATACACCATGAGTACTTCTATAAAGCTCTTTGTTGGCAGTGTGTCAACACATTACTGCAGATGGGAAAGAGCCTCTGCCAAACCACATCCCCAGGAATACAGCCAAGTCTTGCTTTCCCAGTGGCCACTTGCGGTATTGCAGCATTTGTCCACCACTGAAAAAGAGGGGTCTGTAAAATTGTTGACCGGACACCTAGAACTGCAAGTAAGTTTTTATCAGGCTGCTGTATGAACAAGTGTTTGTTTTTCTGACAGGTTTGGCTTCAATTAGTTACTTAATGCTATAAAATGGGGATTTTATAACATGATTGACAACTGTGTGAGCCAGTTGGGTTCACATTCTGTGGCACTGCAAATGATTGGTTGGACGGGTGTATGGGCGGGAAACTTGATACCACGGATATCGATATATATGATGTCACCAGAACCGAACAAGATGGCAGTAGCAGTAAGCAAGATATTTTAGCCTCACTCTTCTACAGTGGGGATAAGTGGAGACGTGTTGTCCATCTTCATATACAGTCTATGCTTGAACCAGACTCTAATTCTGCCATTTTTTGACGCTCCTGGGTCTCATGCACAATAGATTCAGCAGCACAGTTTGTGCCCCTCAGTGTGTCTCCATACTTGAGCGCATATGGCGGTTGATGGTGATGTAGCGTGCAGATGATGATCACTGATAATTTTGCATTCAGATGCCCAATAAATTGGCTTTCTCCAGGTAATATTCATCTGGGTAATTCAGGTCTCTTCACAGCCCCTTTCCCACTGGACAAAAAACCCAATAACTCCTACTAACATCTGGTTTTTAGTGTGAAAGGTTACAATTGGCATTCCCAGCTGTTACACATATTAATCAGCTTTGGCTCCAATCTGCAGTGATGGACCCATGACAACCAGATGGGCGCGCAAATTTTAGCCCCTTTTCCGGCACAACTGTCGGTGACTTCTGCAACTCTTTGTCATCTCAGCCACAAGATCAATCCACCTCTGTCCAAGCAGCACTCAAACATTGTTCCAAATGAGTCGCATCTAGTTTGAAAGAGAGACTGAGGAAGTAACAGTTATAAAAAAAGAAGTAACCACTAATGTTTTCACTGGCCTCCATGCTGCTTTCTACTCTTTACTAGCCCTGTTTTCTGCCACATTCATGACACACCAGGAAAAAAACAAAATGGAGGCATACTTGTCTACTTGCAATGGGAGGGATTTACGTTTAAAGAAACTCTTATATGTGCACTAATGTTGGTGGTGAAGGGGAATAAGTGGGCCTTCAGACTAAAAGCAGTCCTGCCTTAAAGTAATGCATGAGGCTGCGTTGGTGAGGACAATTACGAAATAATGTCTTTTAGTTTCTCTAATCTTTGTTTTTTTCCTACATTTCGTTTCAGGTAATGCAAGATAAAATCATATGCCTTCCTCAGAGAGTGCCGGCGCCTTCGGAGAACACAAGTGAAGTGGAAGTGAAATCACTGTTACATCTGCAGCCCAACATATCAGCCATACCAAAAGAAATGACAGGCCTGAAAACAGATCTGGATCTTCAACAGTACAGTTTCATCAATCAGATGTGTTATGAGAAGGCTCTGCACTGGTATGCCAAGTACTTTCCTTATTTGGTTCTTATACACACTCTTGTTTTCATGGTGTGCAGCAACTTCTGGTTCAAATTCCCCGGCTCGAGCTCTAAAATAGAGCATTTTATCTCCATGCTCGGCAAGTGCTTCGACTCTCCGTGGACCACACGAGCTTTGTCGGAGGTGTCCGGAGAAAATCCCGAGGAAAAGGACCATAAAAAGAGCGCCACCTCAAGGTCCAACATCATTGTGTCTCCTGGAGAAGGAAGCCTGGAGAAGACACAGTCCCTCCGGTCGATCCCGGAAAAGATTGTAGTTGAAAAGCCATCAGCAAGTGTTCTTGATAAAAAAGAGGGTGAACAAGCTAAAGCTCTTTTTGAAAAGGTGAAGAAGTTCCGTTTGCACGTTGAGGAAGGAGACATCCTGTATCTTATGTACGTTCGTCAGACAGTGTTCAAGGTGTTTAAATTCCTCCTGATCATTGCCTATAATAGCTCTCTCGTCAATAAAGTGCGGAACAGAGTGCGTTGCGAAGTTGAGATCCAAGACATGACAGGCTACAAAGATTTTGAATGTAATCACACAATGGCTCACCTGTTTTCTAAGCTGTCTTACTGTTACCTGTGTTTAGTAGCTGTCTATGGGTTAACAAGCCTTTACACCTCTTACTGGCTGTTTTACCGCTCACTGAAAGAATACTCCTTTGAGTATGTGCGACAGGAAACAGGCATCAACGACATCCCGGACGTCAAAAATGACTTTGCTTTCATGCTACACATGATCGATCAGTATGACCCGCTGTACTCCAAACGATTTGCAGTTTTTCTCTCTGAGGTCAGTGAGAACAAACTGAAACAGCTGAACCTCAATCATGAGTGGACCCCGGAGAAATTGCGCCAGAGACTGCAGACTAACGGCAACAACAGACTTGAACTTCAGCTGTTCATGCTCCCTGGGTTACCCGACACTGTCTTTGAGTTGACGGAGCTGCAGTCGCTCAAGCTGGAGATCATCAACAATGTCACCATCCCTGCTTCAATCTCTCAGCTGGAAGACCTTCAGGAGCTGTCTCTTTACCAATGCTCTCTAAAGTTGCACACAACAGCTACCTCCTTCCTCAAAGAGAACCTGAAAGTGCTTCGTGTGAAATTCGATGATAACAGGGAACTTCCAAACTGGATGTATGGCCTGCGCAGCTTAGAGGAGCTCTATCTCACCGGGTCTCTGAGCCCTGATGCCTCCAAAAATATAGTTCTTGAGTCGCTGCGGGAGTTGAAGTGCCTGAAAACTCTCTCCCTTAAGAGTAATTTGACCAAGATACCCCAGTCTATCGTGGATGTTTCCAGCCACCTGCAGCGCCTGTACTTACACAATGATGGCACTAAGCTAGTAATGCTCAACAACCTGAAAAAGATGACCAACCTGGTCGAGTTGGAACTCGTGCGTTGTGATCTGGAACGCATCCCGCATGCAATCTTCAGCCTAACGAATCTGCAAGAGCTTGACCTGAAAGAGAACAACCTTCGCTCAATAGAGGAGATCATCAGCTTCCAGCATCTTCGAAAACTCACTTGCCTCAAACTTTGGTATAATGGCATCATGTACATCCCGGAGCATATCAAGAAGCTCGGCAGCCTAGAGCGCCTCTACTTCAGCCACAACAAGATCGAGATTTTGCCTTCGCACCTGTTCTTGTGTAACAAGCTGCGCTACCTGGACCTGTCCAACAATGACATCCGATTCATCCCTCCAGAAATCGGAGTCCTTCAGAGTCTCCAGTATTTCTCTGTCACCTGCAACAAAATCGAAAATCTACCAGATGAGCTTTTCTTTTGCAAAAAGCTCAAAACACTAAAGCTCGGCAAAAACTCGTTGTCCATACTCTCACCAAAAATTTCCTACCTAGCTCTTCTGACATACTTGGACCTCAAATGCAACCACTTTGAGTTCCTGCCCCAAGAGCTCGGTTGCTGTCGTGCTTTGAAGCGCAGTGGCCTTATGGTGGAAGAGACACTGTTTGAAACCCTGCCTTCTGATGTCAGGGACCAAATGAAGGCTGAGTGAGACGCCTTATTGTAGCCACAGTGCCTGCTGTCTGTTCTGTCTACCACTGCAGAGCATTTTTTTGTATGAACTCATTACCATATTTAAGTATTACACTACTGTTAAGAAAGTTATTCTTCCAGTTTCTTTGACGAGGGGAAAAATTACTTATTCATTTATTGTCACATAGAGTGTGGCTGCAACAGGAGTGCTTGTTTTGTTGTTTACTGACATGTTACAACCCTGTCGCCTGAAAAAATGTAGGCATACATTTCGGCAAACTATGGATACGTTACATTTGTATGCAATTATATACGCTAGCAGATAGGTTGAAACTTGTGGTTGTGTTTGGCATAAATGGTTAAGAAAAGCTCATGTTTTGGCTTGAACTACCCGCTTTTGATGGCACTATTCCGGCAGGAAACGCAGCAATGTCTCAGTAAAAAACAGCCTCTTTTTGTGGCACTATGTCCGGCGTAAAAACAGTGACAGCTCACTAAAAAATAATCACATTTGGCTGCTCAGAACTTAGCAATGAAGAGCTAAGTGTGCATTTTGGTGTTTATTGGTCTTGAACAGTGGTCTGCAGCCTGGCAGGTGTCTCTCCCAGGTGTCAGGCCATCTACGGTGCCCTTCCCCTCCAGATGACAAAATCAACTCATATACTCCGTCGGTTTAGAAACATTTGTATGGTACGTAGGAAACATACAAATGTTACGTGTTTTTGGTTTGCAGAAATGTGCAGTGCCAACATTTTCCTCTGGCAACTGGGCTGCATATTATCCATTCACAAGACCTACTTAAAGAAATAGTTTAGCATTTTTGGAAATACACCATCTTGCTTTCTTGCTTAGAGTTAGATGTGAATATTGACATCAATCTCATATCTGTAAGTTAAACATGAAACTATAGCCAGCAGGCAGTTAGCTTAGCTTAGCACAAAGACTGGAAGAGGGAAACAGCTGGAAACAGCCATGATCTTTCAGAAGGTGAACCTACCACCAACTGTGAAACTAATTAATTCACACGTTATAGCGTATTTTGTTAAATCTGCACAAAAACTGAAATGTTAAAATGGCAAGTTGTGGGTTAATGGGGAGCTGCATGCTGGACTATTTTTGTCCTGGTTTTGTCCTGGAGTTCCTTTCTTAATTTCTGAATTTTAATGCTGATTAAGGCTGCAAAGTTGGATTTATTAAAAAAACACTTAAAACACATTAAATTTGGCTCAATAGTGACAATATTAAACACAACTACATAATTTGGCTCCATTATAACCTGCAAGGTTTACAGATAAAACACTTGTCTTTTGCTAGACACGTTTTCCCTCCATATACAACATGCTAACAATCTTAGCATAGGCCTATGACATTTTACACTGCATAAATTAACCTAGCTGCTAGTGGAGTTTTCCTCTACTCATATGAAGCCAGTAGGTAACGTTATAAATTTCAGCTGCATTGTAACTCACAAGATTCACCAACAACTGTCTTTTACTCGACACGTTTTCCCTACAAATACAACATGCTAATGTTATTAGCACAAGCCTGAGGCATTTTACATTGCATAAATTAACCTAGCCACTAATGGAGTTTTCCTCCACTCATATGAAGCTAGGAACAACGGAAACATTTAACAAAGGTACATTACAGAAATCAGCTGCAGTGAAACTCACAGCATCCACCAACAAAACAACGGTCTTTTACTTGACATGTTTCCCCTACAAATACAACATGCTAATGATATTAGCACAAGCCTGAGGCATTTTACATTGTATAAGTTAGCCTAGCTGCTAGCAGAGCTTTCCACTAATTCCAATTTATTGTTTTTTTTCATCTGTGAAAAAAAAGGTAAATTTAGGGCCTGTGTCCACATAGCATTTTTCATTAGCACAAAAGAGGTGGCTTCATAAAAAAGTGCTCCAAGGGCTTTTATAAAATGATGCGCTGCACGTGGGTTTTGTTGCTATGACGACAATATCTTGCCATTAATGTTAGCTATAGGTAGCTAATGCAATGCTATGTTAACACAGGGTCAACGACACAGTTAAGGCCAAAACACACCAGCGGCGTCATATGACGGCAGCGTCATTGACGCGAGTCAAGTGCCGCCCCCAACACACACAAAAAGCATCATGCTGCGGGGCGTCAACCGGATTTCTACTGCACACTCCAGTCCGCGAGAGCTGGGAAGTACAAAATAGCGCTTTTTCAAGGGCGGCGACGCTGGAAAAATAGGACAATAGCGTAAAGTGCCACGGCACGTTGACGCGTGTCGAGCCGCCGCCGGTGTGGGTTTGTAAATAGAAAATAATGGGGGCGGCTGTTTTGACGCGCGTCGTACAGCGCCGGTGTGTTTTGGCCTTTAGCTGACAACGTTAAAGTGACAAAAGCACAACAATCCACCAGCAGCATCCAGTGTCCACCGACAGATCTGCTCCCACAAACAGAATTTCTGTCTTCACTGTGACAGTAGCCTTGCGAAAAGAGCAGCAGTGACGTCACCAGCACCTTTCTGAAAAGTTTAGAGATTATAAATAGAAGTGCTCGCAGCGGCTGCAGAAAACGCCAGTGTGCTTTGAAAAATGATGGCTGATATGCTCCCTCCTCATTGGGAACAACTGAAAAAAGTTGAAGAAGAAATATTATGTGGACATAGGCCCTTAAGTTTTAATGGTTTTCAGCCTACTAAAATAAACAGGAGGATGTGTAGTTAAATTTCTGGGGAGGTGCACATTAGGCTATGGTGCAGGGTATGTGTCTACACAGAACCTATGAGTATGAATCCCAATTTAGAGGTGCCGGTAAGCTGATTTATTTAATTTATGGACAGAATCGGAGTAGCTACTTTCCTCTGCTTCCAGTCTGTAGCCGCATATTTAGTGTACAGACTAGAGAGCGATATCCACCTTCTCATCTAACGCTCAACAAGAAAGCAAACAAGCATTGCTAAAATCATAAAATCATTTCATCACTGAATGTAAATCTAAACTGAAGACCTCACTTAAATTTAGGCCAGTAGCCTTACATATGCTGTACTGTATATATGTTATGTTGCCTTTATAAAGTATTTTTATTTTCTTCAGGAGACTGTTAGTTCACATGGAGCGCAGCAGGGGACATGCAAAAAAACAAAGGATGTATCTTACATACGAACATGTAATACCTTGGCTAAATAATTCTGTATTATAGAAATAAGTGCATTAAACTTATGGACTTTGTCATACTGGTGTTTTTCTTTGGCTCTTGAAATGTGCACAAGATGTTTGCAGCCCATAGAAATGTATTTATAAACAGTTTTTTTATGTTGTTGACTAATAAAAATTTATATATGTATGTAATTCTCATTTCTTAGGTTGAAATTTATTGAAGTTCTAAGAGCACAAAATCCACTATTTAAAAATGTATTTGATTCGATCAGTGATGCAGTGTGGTGAAAAAAATAAAATTAAATCTGTTATTGTACTTGATATTTTTAAAAGGGTAACTGCACATTGTATGTTCTCAGTTGTGTTGTGGGATTAGATATTACTTGCTGGCTGGTGAGGATTAATAAGGCAAAGGAGATTAGTCTATTATTACACGCACATGAGGCACCGATGAAAAAATAAAGTTGTCTAGAACAAAAATTTGGAACAAATGTTACTGAAACAAAGGAAGGACATTGTTCAAAAATCACCTAGTTTGTATATAACTTTTGGCTTATCTGATTGTAATAACAAAAATATTTAAAACATAGATGGATGGTCTAAATAATACTTTGGCTCATACCTTTCTCTGGAAGTCAGTAAGCTTACATTGGGACATTCAAACAAAATATGATACTCATCTCCCACACCATTATCACCACAGAGATTAGATACTCTGGTGTCACTCCAACCCTTCAATCTTCCAGTAGCTTTAGGAATTCTGGTGTTGTTTATGTCAGCACTTTTGGTTAAACATTTGTTTTATTTCGCCACATGGTGACATACTTCTGAGTTCATTTTGCCACTTTTGTATAAACTGATCTTTTAGCCTTGATTCAAAAGTGAGTTGATGTTGTTACACTTATGTGTGAGTCAGAAGTGAGACAAGCCACAGTCATCATGACACATACACACTTGTATTATGCAGGCTGAGCAACTGAGTTTAGTTTCTTTACCCTCTATCAGCCTCCCCCAGTAGCCAATAATTCTCTTTTTCACTGCAATACAGAGTAAATATCTTCCTAACTTCTCATAGACAATATTATTTCATGTTGTCATTTAAACTTTTAGGGTATCTTTTAGGAATTTAAGAAGTAGTTGTTGTTTTTTCAATATATCAATTCTTTCAAACCCCCACACTTTACATGTGTACAACATAACTGGTGTAACCAGCTTGTCAAAAAGATAAAGTGTGGGGCGTCGGTGGCTTAGTGGTAGAGCGGCGCCCCATGTACAAGGCTGCTGCCGCAGCGGCCTGGGCTCGACTCCAGCCTGTGGCCCTTTGCTGCATGTCTCTCCCCCCCTTTCACACTTGTCTGTCCTATCAAATAAAGGCTAAAAATGCCCCAAAAATATCTTTAAAAAAAAAAAAAAAGATAAAGTGTGACATCACCAAGTTAATTAAATTTTCTACATTTACAGAGTATGGAGAACATGCACGAACCGCTTGCTTACGCAGCTCCTCAGTGGTGGTCTTAAATGAACCATTATAATTCATAATGAAAGTTATTTGTGCAGAACAAATAAGAGGAGCTCATTTTTCCTCCAAAATTTAAGTGTGTGGCTGCAGTAGGCTCAGTCCAAGATTAACAAAATAGTCTCAATCTTTATTCACCAAAGACATGCATACAAAGAAGGAAATTAAAAAGGAATCTACAAGGGAAGTTGGGCTCTGCTTAATATGTGATTATTATTATCATTATTTATTTATTTATTTATTTATTTTACATTATTAGCTATATGACTAACTTTTAACTGTTACCCCTTCGGTAATAACAACCCTGTCTTATTTCCATGGTGTCAAATGTGGCAGCTTGGTCTAACACCGACACACACCCTTTAACTAACTAAAAAAAAAAAAAAGTGGATGCATCTTTTGATGCCTCTCTTACCTCTCTCAGAGGTGCAAAATGGTTTAGTCCACACCTGGACAAAATGCCATTAAAGCTGTGTGAGTGACGGCGTATGCTGCCGGAGCACCAACGTATGTAGTGTCATGTCTTTCCCTTAAAAAGGGAAATGGTGGTTCCAGATTGAAAGAAAGAGAGAAAAAACAGGGAAAGAAACTGATTTTGTAAAAAAAAAAATTCAAAAGGCGCATGAGAGAGACATGGATCAAGAGCTGAAGTGCAGGGAGCCCACAAAGAATTTGGTGCTATGCCCCTGAACTCGCCAGCAGCAATGACGTAGCATAAAGAGCGAGAAAGTCTGAGTAGGGTGGGAGGAAGAGGTTGTGGACAGGTCAAACAACACAGGACTTTCACCCAGGAGACTTTGTGTCCTTTGTTTCCTGTGTGAAATGTTAATTTTTTAAAAAGTATTCTATCATGTATCATGTGATATACTTGTTACGTGACATGTCAAATACATCAAGTGACATTGTGAATTATCTCAGTAACGCTACAAATTTTATTTTAACCTGAACTTTGATGAGTCAATTTCAGTCAATCGAGCAATTTTATTAATAAAGTCAAATATCACAAATCACAATTTGCCTCACAGGGCTTTACAGCATTCGACATCCCTCTGCCCTTTGGGCCCTCACAGCGGATAAGGAAAAACTCCCCAAAAAACCTTTAACAGGGAAAAAAAATTGTAGAAACCTCATGAAGAGCAACTGAGGAGGGATCCCTTTTCCAGGACGGACAGACGTGCAATAGATGTCGTACAGAACAGATCAACATAATAAATGTGCAGTAATCCATATGACAAAATTATACATAAAGAGAGAAACAGAGAAACGTAAACAAGTAGTTTTTTTTTTCTTTTTGCCTAAACATAAGCATTCAATTTAAAAAAAAAGGCAGTGTGGTGCGCCTCCTGCAAAACGCTTTGTGTGTGATCGGTGCCTAATACTTATAAAATAGAAAAAACATTCATATGTGTTATGAGTTGAGTGTTTCTTCTAGTGTAAGTTGTCATGTATTTTATTATTATCATTTTTCTTTTTTTGAGGAAACAAAGCTGTGATGTAACTTTAAATTACACCCGTTGCACTTTTACGACGGTCCCTAACATCAGTGGGTCATCTCGTCTCCCACTGTCAATCCCTGCAAGCTTTCATATGTTGTCCATCCTCTCAGCTTCTGATGTGGGGGAAAAACAGAGTGAGATTTCTCCTGCACGTTACAACAGATCTGTCACCACCTGACGGTCATGGGGAAACGCACTGAGGAACAACGAGTGTGTGACTAACATCACGCCGGGTCCACTTCCAGCAGCTGGTGCTGCCGTGCCGGCTGCGTCGCCAGTCAGAGGCAGAGGACCCGACCATCTGAGGCGGAGTGGGGGTAGTCAGCTAAGCTGCTTACAGCCCGGCCAGCAGGCCCACGGTTGAGCTGATGCGAAGAAAGGACGGCTTCATCACGGCACACAAACATGGCATGTAAACAGAGGCGTTGTTCGGTACTGCTGGCATCGACATAAGTGGATCAGACCTCCTGAAGGTGCGTATCTTTGCCGGCCCTCCTTTAGGTTATTCAGGGTCTACAAATGTACCCACAGTGCGCTATGGCCCGACACTGTTAGCAGGTTATATAGCGGGGTATAACCGAGCGGAGCTGGCTGTTACAATGAACCAGCAGTGGATTTAGTGTGCTGCTGTGATGTGAACGCGTCGTGATTTTCTGTAAGGGAACCCAGATACGAGTGCTGCGTTTAAAGGCTTCACGGACATCAGGTCCACCTCTTGTTTTGTGTCCATGGATGCGTCTTGCTGCTGGAGCCGGTCTCAGCCTGCTCTGCTCTGCAGCCCCGATGGAAATAGTGACCTTCATGCTCTCAACACACACAATAGACTGCAGACACAGCGGTGACACAGAATATGTTTTCGTGTTATTTGATGCGTTTCTATTATAACCCACAGGAAAACACTCAGATACAGAGATATAAATAGGCTATACATTATTTACAGCATGCAGCATCACGCCTAGGCAAGAGGGTATATTTGTGGTATGGAGTGCTGACAAAGCACCTGACTGTAAACTCTGTGCAAGGAGGCTAATTTGGAGTGAAGTAGTTTGTATGCACAGAGAAGCACACTAAAGAAAACCAATGGAGATGGTGAGTTATGGAGAGCTCAGACTGTATGAGCAGAATTTGTGTTGCACATGACACGCACTATCTCTACAGACAACATGTGTGCTGTGTCCCAGTTCAAGGGCAGCGCACTCTCTAAATCCATAACACTCTGACAGGGCAGCTCTCTCTGAGCCTTGTCTGAATGTGACTGGGAAATGTGGCACAACCAGTGTGTCATTCCAGTCCTCACTGTCCCATAATGTACTGTGCTCTGCTTAGATCAGCTTGTCCTCGACAATCAGTAAAGCCAGGATATATAATGTCTGCCAGGTGTGATTTACAAGTGACCAGAAAATATAGAATACAGTGGAATATAATTAGAAACACATTAGAGTTTGAAGTGATCCAACACAACAACACCACAGCTACATACATTTGTCATAAGACAGTTGTATTTGATTGCATTGGATTACAGGATCCTGTGCAATTCTCACATTACCAGGACTGATACACAAGCGATGTCACTCCCCTTTGGTGTACCAAATGGACCCTGTTTCAGGAAAAAAATATGTACTGTAGTCACCTGTGAGAGACAAAGAATTTTTTGATCCATCATATTTTCACAGAAGGGGTCGACGCTTAGGTTTAGGCAACAAAACTACTTGGTTATGGGTAGGAGAAGATTGCAGATGTTGCTAAAAACAACTGGCTTTAAGTGCCACAAAGTCAGTGGTGTGTTGCTAAAAAACACCTGGAACCGGTGTTGTTGATTGTTGGTCTCGAACACCGCTCTCCTATTTTATTTAACCTCTATTTAACCAGAAAAACCTCTTGAGACTCGCCAGATCCTGGTACCCATGTACAGGTCTAAAACAAGCAATATAAAACTTGATGGTGTACAAAAATCCTGCAACAGTGCTTTCTTCCTGCAGAAGATTCCACACATAAGGAGCTGCATACATGCCACACTCTTTACATGCCCTTGATACAGACAATAAGAACATGTTTTGAGAACGGAGAGCAGCCATTTTCAATTTTTTGCTTCATGTACATATAAATATGCTGGAAATAGGTTAAGAATAGCTTTGTAAACAAGAGAATGCTGGTGTTTGTTGAAGCCATCCACCCCCCTTGAGTGGACTTTCATGTTCTGAACTACGTCGGTTGCTTGGAGTGTCTAATAATAATGCAGACGGGTTAACTTTGGAGTTGGTGGAAAAACCAGTGCGTCTCATACAGATGCTAAATGGTGCCCTGACAGCGGGTAAACTGCCCACTAAGCATATTTTGACACTGAATTAAACATATGATGCTTGTCAATTTAAAAGATAACTTTGCAAGTCAAGGAAGTCGCAGTTTGTTGATGGTTTGTTGTCGTACCATTTAGTTTTGTGTGAAACTGCTTAGTGAACTAGTCTATATCTCTCATCTTGCCCAACAGGCCCTTTAAACTACCAGCGCCAGCAAGCCAGCTAGCTTAGTAACTTATGTATGCTCCATGCACAAATGTAAAGTTATCTTAAGTGATGTGTTTTATCCAGTGATTCCTGGTCTTTATATCAGCTGGTAATCAAAAGAATGAGCAAGACCCGTTTCTCATGTGAGTACATCCTGGTACGAAACAGGTGTTGTAGAAAGCTATGATGTCACTTTTGCAACTTGTGTTGTCTTTGGAATTCCGTATTTTTTACAGTCTTATGCTTCAGTAGTTTTTCAACAAACTGCTTTTCTGTTGACTTGTATAATCATCTGTTAATCTGACAAACATCCTATATCTAAATCATGGCACAATTGAAATGTGATCTATAAATTATTTATCTCTTTCTGTTAACCACTGTACGTATTTTTTCTGAAATATGGTATCATGGTGTTCCAGTGGAAGGGGAGGGACTTTGCCTCTCTGAACAAGCCACTACTGTTTCATTATGTTTTCCACTTGTCACCCATCCAAGGGAAAATTCTGGTGGTAAACATGGACATTTTAGATTTACGTACTGTAGGCAAGGACTGCCACAATACAACAGTACTTGTGGTTCAGCAGTACCTCTACAACTATTACTATTAATTACTGTTAGGGAGTGAAGCAAAGTAAAAGCTTGTCCTGCAGTAACACATGATTATTTTCATGAATTCAAGTTCTGCAAAATTAACTTTTACACCCCGCTGGTCACAGCTAAAAAAAAATTGTTGAAAATAGAATTGGTTAGACAAAGATAACAGTCCTATTAAGGTGAATAATAGGATGAAAGGAGCATTCTTGTGGAATTTCAACCTTCTTTAAAGCATATAATTTATTGCAGAAAAGCAGTTTACAGCAGCCAAGACAGAGTGTGAAAGCAAGGTGGCCATAACAGTAAGAAACCTTACTTTTCTGGGTCCATTTTTACATGTCATAGCAAAATGTAAAATGGACACAAAGTCATAACAACGCATACATGGTGATGAGCATGAAATGTGTTAAATTACATGCTGGCAACATGAAAAAAAGGTCAGTGCAAAGTCAGTGAGGGTCCTTTGTTGCTGTGGACTCAAAAATTAAGTATAACAGCAAGAAAGTTTTTGGGGTGGTGCATAGGTCAAACAAACATGGACTTTCAACCAGGAGACCGATGTTCTTGTCCCATGTAAAACCAAATGTCAGCTTAGTTACGGGACTTCACGCACTTTACATAACACAAAAAAGTATGCATATGTCACTTACGTCCCGTACATAGTTATATTAACCAAAACCGCAATCTTTTCCTGAAGTTAACCAAGTTTTTTTTTGTCCTCTAAGTCTAACTTAGTGTTTTTCTTTCACTAAACCGAACCAAATGGTGACCGTTTCACAACAAAACTGTGGCTGTTTGTAGTAGACTTTACATTGGCATTTTTTTCATGTTGCCAGCATGTAGTTCTTACAAATAGTGTGCCCACCACCATTCAATGTGTTGTTAAGAAGTTTTACACATTTCTGTAAAACTGTGTTTATCATGCACACTAGGGGAGGTTATGTTGATGTAATTCGAAAAGTCAGTGGAAGTACAAAAATAAACTGAGATGATACTGGGATAATAATCTTATATGATGTAATTTTTCTGTAATGTAGGAATCAAGCATGATGTTGTTTCATTATCTCTGTTGCAGGAATGTTCACCCTCACAGAAGTAGCCTCGCTGAATGACATCCAGCCAACCTATCGAATACTGAAACCATGGTGGGATGTCTTCATGGATTATCTTGGTATTGTCATGTTGATGTTGGCCATATTTTCTGGGACGATGCAGTTGACTAAGGACCAAGTGGTTTGTCTTCCCATTCTGGAACAAACTCCAGAGGGGACTGGGGGCTTCTTAAGGCCCCAACCACCAGAGACAGCTGATAGCTTATGGAACAAAGAAAGTGCCATTGGAGAGCAAGCCGCTCCTTTAATGGCAAGAAGGCCTCCTGATAGCATTGCCCCTACAATTCCCTTCACACAGTCGGGTACTTTTGGGCAGCCTCAGCCTACAGGTGTCAGGACAAAGCTGGATTTTCAGCAGTATGTTTTCGTCAACCAGATGTGCTACCATGTTGCCCTGCCTTGGTATTCAAAGTATTTCCCATACCTCGCTCTCATCCACACTATTGTATTAATGGTCAGTAGCAACTTCTGGTTCAAGTACCCAAAGACAAGCTCCAAAATAGAACATTTTGTTTCCATACTGGGAAAATGTTTCGAATCGCCTTGGACTACCAAAGCGCTGTCAGAGACTGCCTGCGAGGACTCGGAGGAGAACAAGCAGAGACTGGCGGGTGCATCCTCCCTCCTGAAGCATCTGTCCACAAGCAGCGAGGAGGGGAGTCCAAACCAGTCCGCCCCAATGCTGACTAAATCTGGGGTCACATTTTCAGCTGAAAAGCTGGTTAGTGAAGTTCCCGCCATGACCATACTGGACAAAAAAGATGGCGAGCAAGCAAAAGCCCTGTTCGAAAAAGTCCGGAAATTTCGTGCCCATGTGGAAGACAGTGACTTGATTTACAGGCTGTATGCCATTCAGACAGTTATCAAAACAGTCAAATTCATTTTGATCCTGTGCTACACCATGACATTTGTCGCCTCTATAGATTTTGACCACGTGTGTGAGCCTGAAATAAAGCACTTGACTGGATACACCAAGTTCCATTGTACACACAACATGGCGTTCATGTTAAAGAAACTCCTTGTTAGTTATATTGCTCTCATATGTGCTTACGGTGTAATTTGCATATACACACTGTTCTGGCTTTTTCGGCGACCACTAAAAGAGTATTCCTTTGAGAAAGTCAGAGAGGAGAGCAGCTTCAGTGACATTCCGGATGTTAAGAATGACTTTGCGTTCCTCCTCCACATGGTCGATCAGTACGACCAGCTTTACTCAAAGCGTTTTGGTGTTTTTCTCTCTGAGGTGAGTGAGAACAAACTACGGGAGATTAGCCTGAACCATGAGTGGACCTTTGAGAAGTTGCGGCAGCATGTGACGCGCAATCCTCAAGACAAGTTGGAACTCCATCTTTTTATGCTTTCTGGAGTGCCAGATGCTGTGTTTGATCTCACCGATTTGGAAATCCTCAAACTAGAATTAATCCCAGAGGCCAGGATAACAGCTAAGATCTCACAGATGATAAACCTCCAGGAGTTGCACTTCTATCACTGTCCAGCCAAAGTTGAACAGACTGCTTTCATTTTTCTTCGCGATCACCTCCGGTGCCTTCATGTCAAATTCACAGATGTCGCTGAGATTCCTAGCTGGGTATACTTGTTGAAAAATTTAAGTGAACTATACCTGATTGGTAACCTGAACTCAGAAAACAACAAAATGATTGGACTCGAGTCTCTGCGAGATCTCAGGCACCTAAAAATTCTGCATCTCAAAAGCAACCTCACAAAGATCCCAACGAACATAACGGATCTTTCTCCGCATCTGATCAAGCTGGTGATTCATAATGATGGTACAAAGCTCTTAGTGCTGAACAGTTTGAAGAAAATACTGAATCTCGCTGAACTGGAGCTTCTTAACTGTGAGCTGGAGCGAATCCCCCATGCTATCTTCAGTTTGACCAACCTTCAGGAGCTGGATCTAAAATCCAACAACATCCGTACCATCGAGGAGATCATCAGCTTTCAGCACCTCAAGAGACTGACGTGCCTCAAACTTTGGCACAATAAGATCATCACCATTCCACTGTCAATAAGCCATGTTAAAAACCTCGAGTCGCTCTATCTCTCACACAACAAGCTTGAATCACTACCCTCATCATTATTCACCCTTCTCAAATTGAGGTACCTCGATGTTAGCCACAACTCCATAGTGGTAATACCTCTGGAGGTTGGCTTTCTGCAGAACCTCCAACATTTTGCCATAAATGGCAACAAAGTCGAAGTAGTTCCCAAGCAACTGTTCAAGTGCAACAAACTGAGGACCTTATGTCTCGGCCACAACTGTATCTCCTCCATCCCAGAGAAGATTGGCCAACTCTTGCAGCTGACACATCTGGAACTGAAGGGAAACTGTCTGGATCGTCTCCCGGCTCAGCTCGGTCAGTGCAGCCTCCTGCGCAGGAGCTGCCTGATTGTGGAGGATCATCTCTTTGACTCGCTCCCCATGGAGGTCAAAGAGGGCATCAATCAGGAATCTAGTGTTTCTTTTCCCAATGGGTGTAAGTGTCTAAGTGATGGACGGTAGTCACACCCTATGTGGCATCAAACGTCTGCCATTTCACCTTAGGTGTGTAGAAGTCTTTTTTTATCATGGCACTAGAAACAATAGTTCAGGGTACGGTATTGGTACACTTCATGATGTTTTAGCAACTTATATAATGAGCATACCACAGCACATGCAAGGTTGGTACCACTGGAGAAATTTTAGATGAGCTTTAGAAGTGATCATTGCTTCTGTCTATATATATATTATTTTTTCATTTTGTTCTCAGTTAAAGGGGAATTCCGGTATTTTTCAACCTGGACCCTATTGCCATCACCATGCTTTTGTGTCTGAGTGATTAATTGGAATAGCAATTGTTGAGATTGGTCCAGAATTGTCCAGTGTGTGACAATATAATGGAAAGGATCCATACAGAGGTCGATGTCTTTGTTAAAGAGTAGCATCCTTTTAATAACAGAAACAGCCCCAATATCGTAATCGTCAAACCCATCAGACTCTACTTAAATAAACTTTATCATCATAAAACATGCTTCATTTAAAGCCACAGAAGCAAAATAAAACTCACAAAAACTTATCTTTCCACTGTTCAGATAATCACCACCTCTGGTTTGGTTGAAATAAATCTTTTAGCCTAGCAGGAGAAATAGCTTCCTGTGCACCAACATGACATTTTTCTTATAACATGGTTTTTTGGGATCCTAATGGTGTGTAGTAAAGATTTTTTCTTGTTGCCATGGTCAACTCATGGCCCATGGGGTTTGTTTGGCGGCCATCTTGAATCGATGTCCAAGCTAATTACGAAAAATGTAGATTTTCATCAACTGCGATTCAAAATAGCAGACGTTACATTGTTATGAGCCTAAAATGTGTCATTTACCTTTTTTAACCAAAAAAGAGAGGTATGTTAATGACCTTTCCATTTGATTCCTGGTGTTCAAATTACATGGAAAAATGGGTTTATTTGTCTTTGTATCTTGTCTGGTTCATACTCCTGCTAGACTACTTAATTCACCCAGTTAGATGTGAAAATAAAATGGCTTAATACACACTTAATAACCATTTATTTAAATTGAGTCTGGTGGGTTTGGCGATGGCCATGTCAGGAAAGTTTCTGGTTAAACAAAAAGGATTTTACTCTTTAGCAAAAAGGTCTATCTCTGTAGGGATCCTTTCCATAAGTTGCCATTACATTGAATAACAATCTGATCCTGTCAGTGGCAAAAACAAACACTTTTAGTGGACGTAACTCGATAGTGTTCAAATTCCCCCGAGTGCTAACATTGCAGCGTGGTTTTGCTGCTGCTGACTGTAACAGTCTTGTTTAATACTGAACAAATTAAAAAAAAAAAAAATTCCCATTGTAGAACTTGGTCTGTGGCACTCGCTGCAATAAAACATAATGTTTGACAAAAATCGACATTTCTTTTCAGTAGCAGTGCACCCATTACCCTGGATAAGACCTTGCAGTTTTTATTAACCTACATTTTATCACAGAAATATTCTTAGTGAAACCTGTTTACAGCAAGTGTGTTAAATATCTAGAGTGACTGGGTCACTGCTCCTGAAAGGAGATGTAGCTGCTGAAATTTTTAAGGCTGTAAACACCATACACGGAATTTCAATTCTGTCCGTTTTATTGGAATGGAGGCAGAAATCTCAGTATTGATATTTCAAAACTTGAACAAGTCAAACCACAATCTGAATGGAAAAAGTCATACTAAGGGAGCGAATATGTTTTTCTGTTTCTCCACAAACCACCATGATTTACAAGCAGTATTATTGTTTGTGCCAGTGTTGCAAATCAACTGGATCACTTTCTGTTTTCCTCAGAGCCGAGCAACTACCATGTTGTCTACAGTTACTCCAGTTGTTCCACCATCAGGCATTTCTGCTAACGGGGATAGTAACTGCAAAGACCTTACATCGCAGTCCAGTCCTACAGAAATACGTGAATGACCTCTTAACACCACATTATTACGTTGTGTTGAAATGACATGACTGCACCATGGAAACAAGGCCAAAGGAAAAGTCAGTTAGGATCTTGTCGTGGTGGGCACACAAGTATCCTGGTTAAATGACATCAGGTGCGAGATTTATTGCACAATCCTATAGATTGTTAAAAGAGCAACAAAGTCCACATAGGAAGGAGGTCAGTTTGGTAGCCATTATTCAGGGGCGTAGCCATTATTTCAGAGGTGAGGGGGACAGATGGTTCTGGAGTAAGGAAGGAACCAAACCCAAATAACCAAAAACACCTGATGACTAGGAAAAGAGGTCATCTTTTAATGTCAGCTAACCGTTATCAGAAACCACGCAACTCAACTTACATGGTTTGATATAAAGAAGGAGTGCAGGGTTTTCGTCCTCTTGCTAGCTTGTTCGCTGTACATTTTTATTCAAACGTATTGTACTTCCAACTCGGTGCTTAGAGAGGGAACAGAGGGAGCATCCCAGACGTCCCTCTCCCCAGCAACGCTTTCCAGCACCTCCTGAGGGACCCCAAGGCGTTCCCAGGCCAGATAAGATATATAATCCCTCCAGTACGTTCTGGGTCTGCCCCGGGGCCTCCTACCAATGGGACGTGCCCAGAACACCTCTAACGGGAGGCCCCCAGGAGGCATCCTGATCAGATGCCCGAACCACCTCAACTGACCCCTTTGACGCAAAGGAGCAGACTTCTCCGAGCTCCCTCCGGATGTGCGAGCTCCTCACCCTATCTCTAAGGCTGAGCCCAGCCACTCCACGGAGGAAACTCAATTCGACCACACCATTTTTTCAGTCATTACCCAGAGCTCATGACCATAGGTGAGGGTTGGGACATAGATGGACCAGTAAATTGAAAGCTTTGCCTTCCGGCTCAGCTACATCTTCACCACGACGGTCTGGCAACAAACCGCCAATCCATCTCACGCTCCATTCCACGCATGCAACGTGTTGTGGTTACTTGAACTGAAAACACAATATTTTTCTGAACCTGACCAAGAAGTTTTGGTGCCTAAACCCAACTGTGCTGCCACCATGTGATGTGGTGTTCAGAGGTCATTTCATGTATTTCAGTTCTCATACTCTTCAGTAAATGGGAATAGTCACTGATAGCTAGCGAGGAAAGTGGTAGCACTGTCCTCCTCCTGTTGTGTTGCACATTGGTTGACACGCTTCCTTAGTGCTTTAATGGAGCCTTCAGTTTCACAGGAGATCGTTCCCAGTGGCAGACAAAATTGCAGAGTGAAAACGAGGCTTATATGGAACCAATCTAACCACTGATAGTGTTATTAGTCTGTAGCCATTACATTTACTTTATCACAATTTAAAGCAGAAACCTGCCTCTTTACACTTTAAAATTATTACTGCTTCAATGGCTTCCAAGGTCAAGACCAACTCTTTTACTCTACCACTACAGTATAGACCACAAACAATGACACATGCTGCACAAACAAATTAAATAACTCTATAGGTATAACCAAGTATTAACCTTATGCATTCCAGTTTTCATATACTTGTAATATTTTTTCACGTCACACACCAAAATGGTAAAAGTTCCCATCCAATCTTTTCTCTACTTTTTGAAACGTCTTGAATCATGACATTATTTTTGATACAGTTGTTTGGTTTTATTTTTTAGAAGGAGTAGACAGTAGATTGTTTCTAGCCAACCCACAATGACCTTCTTCATTAGTTGTACTTTTGCTCACATGTTTAGTTATGTTTCCTTCTTGTAGACAGTGTATTTATCATGCATTTTGTGTTCTTTCTATGTATTTATTATGCCATTGTCTTTTATGGGTTCTTTTCTCTGCACAGCACTTTGTAAACCTGGTTTTAAAATGTGCTACATGAATAAAAGGATGACTTATTACACTGTTATTATTATTTGAAGATAGAAATGAAGCTCTTTTTTGCACCAAAAAAGGAATTATTCTTTATAATTGTACAGTTTAATCTTGATACATTTAAGATAGGGATGCATGATGTTGGACTTTTTGCTGATAACCAATACGCCAATATATGACAACTTATTTGGCGGATAACCGATACCGATATCGATATATATCCTTTTTTTGCCCCACCTAATTTTAATGATTAAGTCTCTTCTGTAGTGGAATTAACATCATATTATACATGCATACTCTTACCGTGATGACCCACAAGCAGATGGAGATGTGAAGTAGAATATCTAACGTATGTGTAACATTTATTTATTGTGCAAAATAAGGAAAAGCACATTGGCCGATTCTGACTGCTCAATTTAAAGCAGATATCAGCCAAAACTCCAATGAAAATTAGTTTAAAAAAGAAGAAAATTCAAAACATGAAATTTAGATTCAAAAAAAGAAAAATTAAAAACATGAAAATTTGTTAAAAAAAGAGAAAATTCTAAACATGAAAATTACTTAAAAAGAAAAAGAAAATTCAAAACATGAAAATTAGTTTAAAAAAGGAAGAAAATTCAAAACATGAAATTTAGTTAAAAAAAGGAAATTCAAAACATGAAAATTAGTTTAAAAAATTAAAAACATGAAAATTTGTTAAAAAA